TTGTGATTTTCTTAAAATGATCCTCTGTTGGTTTGTGGCATATTTTGAAAGTTAACAACATAATCGATCGAAGATGTTTTACTTAAAAGTTGAGCAACAGTGGGAGGAGTTTTCCGTACATGGTGTTGCATACCTGTTGTATCTGAAGTTTCGACTTAATTTTTGATACCATGGGATCAACATTCCATGAGGTGCATCATGTTGGGACAAACAATTGCCATGTAGTGAGGGAGTAGTTGTCTGGCCAAAAGAGTACATACCTACTCTATTTTGTCATTTCTTTGTTTGCTCCCTTGCTGATGAGGAGTCATATACTATGCGGTGCATCATGCAGGAACAAATCATGTAAGCTTAATGTCTATTATTAATAAGTTGGGAGTGTCACCAGGAAAAATTCTACCCTGATGGTCAAGGAAGCTCTTTCCATCTAGGACTTGATGAATATGTAGTCAGGGTTGGCCATGTGTTAGTGATGGTCAACTCTCCTCGAAGATGGATCACCAAAGATATTGGTTGACCCAAACATTAGTTAAATATTTGTATGTATGAATGTCGTGAATTCACCATATCAAACATGTCATTGTTCCTTTTTCAATAGATTTTTTGTATTCCTTTTCATAGTGGACTCCCATTCATAAATTTTAAGGAACGATTTTGCCATGGTATCAGCATTTTTTTAGCTTGTTAGCCCTTTTCTACTTCACATTTTTTTTTATATTCATTCAACGTCTTTGGGTGAGGAGTGTACTTTCGATATCTCTTTTCTCTAATCTAAGCCGTATATAAGGGGAAAAAAGGTTTCAGATGAGAGAAAAAGAGATGTGCCCGAAAGATGTAGGATAAATTGAAATTGACAGCGATTCTAAGCAGGGGGAAGCCAAAGGCTTTAGTGGCCTAATGGCCATGCTCATCGACTTAGTGCCAAGAGGTCTTAGGTCAAATCCCATGGCATTGTGGCCACACACCACTAGGGGCTTAAGGGGTAGCCAAAAGACAAAACAGATATGGTAATTTTTTATTTTAGGGGGGACACGAGGCACCCGAACTTTTTCAGCTTGACTAGTGCCTACCAATACATATGGGTATAGTGATGTTAAGACAGAAATTCAGAGTCTAAGCATGGGGAATTCTGCGAGGGGATCTGTTGAGGAATTGGATGGGAATGTTTTTTCAGCCTCATAAGTAGTTACTATAGATCGCAATATGTGAATGAGAAAATATATTGACTAGTCTAAAAACTTAGTGATTTAACCCTATCTTAGTGAATTTTAGAAGCTTTTGAGTTTTTTCTTTTGGTTCCCTATGATGAAATGGGTTGCAAGAGTATTATAAATACTTATCAGATATAGATAGGTGCAATTTGACACTTCTATAATGCATCATTGATATATGGCTGGTTGTTTCATGTGGTTATCATGACCTAGTTACATTTTATGCCAATTGGGGTACCGCTGCCAATTATGATCCTTAGTGGTGCTTATCTTAACGTGGTTGATTGTTTTGAACTTCGACGAGTTGTACAAATTGTGGGGCTAAATTTCTTTTAAAGGGGTTGCAATTTAATAGAGAAACTTTCACTTGAATGAAGAATCAGTGTTTTCTTTTTCTTGAAAAAGTTTTGTGAGCTTGTTTTGTTTATGCCTTTTCTGCCAAGACATGCTGTAAAAAGTAGCAAATTGAGGTTGGATATACTTTTATTTTATATATTTGGGCTTGTTTTGTCCACTTCTTAGCTCGTGCATTGTTGGCTATCTCCATCTACTGACCTTCTTAGATTGATACTCTACCCTTGGCTATGTCAAAGCTATTAAGTTGAATGAGAAGGATGACAGAGAGATTTAAAGATAAAAGAGGTAGAGAATCTAGAGTTTATGTTGAGAGTTTTTTTTAGCTTGGGAGATACTTGAAATTGGGATTCGACTAGATAAGGAGAGGACTTATTTGGATATGCAAGAGCCTCATGATCAGCTTTTATAGTGGTGAATAAGAAAGGTCAAGGATTAATGTATATAAATTTGTTAAATTTTTCAAACTCTGGCAATGTCTTGAAGTTCTTACTCTTGCTATTCATGGTCTTATACATTCCTCAAGCATAATGATTCTTCAGTCCAATGAAGAATGCAATCAATCGCTTTTGCAAAACCTTGTTCCTCTAAGATGAATCTCTTCTTGCAATTAGCTAGGCAGTAATAGGTTATAACACTTTTTGTCCTTTGTTTCTTGTTTTTGCCTTTACCTCTTCCCTAAAGTACCTCTCTTGTCCTTTCTTCAATCCATCTGAAGAATTTTTTTTATTTATTGCTGGAACAATCCAGCTGGAGATTTTGAGTTGGGTGCAAGGACTTATAGAGTGGTGAACTACATAGTCTATCCAAGAAGGTGAGATGGAAAGGAGAGAAATACCAAGCAAGCACAAATTGGGGAAGTTGACAGAAAACTCCAACCATGCATGAGGTGGCAAAGTTTTTCTTTAACAAGGCAGTGACTCATATGGTAAGGCAAAAGACCATCTAATAATCTTGCGCATTATGACAGTTGGAGTCCCCAAGGCAGCGACTCTTGCTTCATGAAAAGTGATTTCCCTGTGCGTTTCCAGTTATTCTGGGTACTGAAACTGAAGATATGGCCCACCACAATTACTCTCTCCCTCTTGATCAAAGTGCTCGCATAACATGTCAAATTATACACAGTTAATACCGTAAAATCTTGAGCAAAATCATAGAAAGTATTCTCAATGGCATATCTAATGTTGGCCGCCCACAAAGCATATATCAGAGGAAGCTCTCCCATGCTTTGAAACATTTCTTTTTCAAATGTTACTTTATATAAGTTTGCTTTGTTTGGTTAATGGAAAATTTAGTCACTAGAAAGGAGAAATACTAGACTGAATTTTGCAAAAGCTAGAGTTAGAACATGAAAAGGATTGATTACTAGAGGAATCAGAGTCGGAATGGTCCTGCCTATGAGGTTAGCCCATCATATATAGATGTAATATTCATGGTTTGTTGTTGTGGTTAAATATTGCTATTGTTGTTCAAGGAAGATTTCTTTTGATAATTTACTGATATTTGCTTTTTAGTTCAGTGCGAGGAATTGTGGTCTGGCAAAGCGCACATACCTCGAATATCCCAAGTTCGTGGACTATCGAAGTTGGCAGCTTATTCCTTATCTGTTATGGATGGCAAATGTGTATGTCTCTCTCACCTCTCTCTCTCTCTCTCTCTCTCTCTCTCTCTCTCTCTCTCTCTCTCTCTCTCAAGTTCGCATGCACACCTGCACCTTTTGTTTTTGTTCATGTCTTTCTGTTCTCATGACAGACCCGTATCACGAAGTATGATCTCTGTGATCATGCATGGGAGTTCCATTTCAGTAAGGTATGCGCCTTTCAACTGCAACATAATTTTCGTAGGGGTTTTTAGTTCTGCTATAACTAAGCTCCGAGCTCTGCTTTTAGCTTGTTACTGGTCAATATATATGATATATGTGTATTGGAGTCTGGATAAACCTGCATTTCGTCTGTCATGAGTGCGTCAATGGAAGTAGTCAAAGTTGTACACCTCACTTAGAATATAAAATGGAGCTTGAAATCATGTATTGACATTGATGTGAGGGTGGCATAAGACAGTTTTTGCTCTTGAACGTCTCTTAAATACCAGCTAATCTTCGGACAAGAGTAATCTCCACTCCATCCCCAACGTGAGGCCCATAAGTTTTGCCTGTTTATTAAGCTTCTTGATGCTGGAGGGATCTCTGCGGATTGAACTTGCTTCATATCTGGAGTTTCTCATTAATGCTAAGAGATCTACTGATGACAAAATATTTCGCTTTTACCAGGCTGCACCTGAGTATTGGCGAAATCTAGATCCATATTGGAAAGGCAATGGCCCTCCAATGCGCCGGTACTTCCATCTCGACGGTAGCCAAAGTGCAGATCCTGGCGACGGTGTGGGGCGGCCATGAATGCTGCTATTCCATAGTCACTAGCTTCGTTGATGACGGGAAGATCAGGGAACACTACGTGAGGATCAATCGCTGGCCCCGTATGTACATCTATAGGAAGCAGGACTGGAGCTGGGAAATGTCGAACGGTGTCTTCTTCTATTCCAGCGTGCCTGATGTGGATAAGCTCAGTGGGACCGGACCCCTGTTTCCAGTTGTGTCCAGTCTGTAACGAGCTCCACTTATATCGCTGCTAAAATGGTGCGGTTTGTACAATCCCCGTCTTTTGTTTCCTTGAGACATGCGAGTCTGTCCATGCTGTCCTAATAGTTTCAGTAGATGTGTCGACCGTCAGGCTTAGAAGCCTGCACCTGCATGTTCTTTTCTGCTGTCTGTGTTGCTTTGTACAGTGTAGATACAACGTGTGGCCTGCTCATTTTTGTGCTTTGAGTAAATAAGGAGAAGGTCTTTATGATAACCATATTCCTCCCAGCAGCAGAAAGAAAATGCACCCAGAGGATCATGCTTGTCAACTGATTAGTATTTACAAAAGCACTTTCTTGCAATCCTTATTTTTCAAAAACGAGAAGACAACTACAGGGATGCGAGGAAGGATGGCGATATGGACCAGTTTTGGAGGTGGTGATTACAGGTACTTGCCAATGTGCGGCATTCCTGGAATGAACTAGCGATGGTAAGGGCGATTGAGATTCAATTCCCACCGAACTCAAAGAAGAACTGCGCAGACGAGTAGTTAATTTATAATGTAAAGGTGCGCATGCAGAACTCATAAATGTGCATAAGTGATAGCGGGCAGAGTACGTTTAGCACCAGCACATTACAATATGATCTACTAAGCAGCACATCATCATCATCCAACGAGCCGGATCTGGCGTATAATAAGGGATTTGCCTTGCCTTTTCTATTGATACTTACGCAATTAACCAACTTCACTTGAAGAGTTTCCATCCTCAAAAAGATCAACTGAAAGAGTTGTTCGGGCAAAGCAGGACTTAGTAGAAATCAATATGCAGCAAAATCATGAAATGAACCGAGAGAACTGCTTCAGAACATGCTGCAACCGACAGTCCAACCTCAATAGAGTTTCAGCTCCATAATGAGTAAAAGATCAGAGCCAATAATACAGCCAGGTCCTCCCAAACACTGAGTAAGTAAACGTTAACACAAAGGTGCTTCAGGGTTTCCTTTAAACTTACGCAATGATAATAACATGAAGGAACAGGATGATCAACTCTGGTCAGGGTTCACGTACAAAGATTCGAGACCAATTTTTATTTCATTGTGAGCCAGCGAAATAAGCAGAAGATCACTAGAAAAGTTGCATTGCGGAAAACAGATGACTTCATGACAATTGGAAAGCGGCCACATGCAGAACTGGATCACCAAACATCAGGGCGGAGCTCACCGGTAGAAGGGGGCACCCACCGCCCAGAGTGGTAGACACTCTCACCAACTTTCCAACCAGGAACATCCTTCATAACTTCAGCCTCATACTCAAGATACTTTTTCCACTCTTTGACAAATCTGAGCGGAAAAAGTAAAGTTCGGTGTCTTTCAGTTTTGTTCCTAATGCAGCAGTAATGAGACAATTAATGGGGCTATTTCAAAGCTTCTGCTTTACCTTTCGTCCTCTTCAGCTTGCAGCACAGGTAAAATGGCTCTCCGCGCAGCATATTTTTCTTCCTTCAATGCCCTGGAGAACGAATGCATGTTGTCGATGTTATGTTCTTTAAGGCAATCAAGATATCAAAAACTTAGATGTGGATTTCGAAACTGAATGTATGAAAAACTTTTTCCAAATGGATCCGAAGATGTCTATCGTGACTATAAGTCAACCTCCATATCCATCATCTTTAGATCAGATTTATGCAGTTCATTTTCATACTTCCTATGAGTGGAATTTTCAAGTAATATTGATCATTTTGCAAATCTCATTTCAAGAGTAAAAGTATAGCACCAGGACTTCAGCGAAAGCCATCATCGCAGACAATAGTGTTATATGTCTTACTATTATGTCTTCTTCATAATTACAACCATAAACAATTTGCAACGTAAAGTTTGTACTTGAGTAATATGCAGTTTATTCCACAGTCTACATCATGCATCACTATATCATTTGGTAACCAAAGTAAGACCCAGTATCATTCAATTTGAAATTGCGGAAATGTATGCCAGAGTAAATCGCAATCAAAAGATGCTTTAAACAGTCTAGGAGTGAACAGTGGCCATCAGGGAGGGACAAACTTTTCTTCAAAAGATCCTGAGTTTCTCTTCACATAAGACCAAAATAAGGAAAAGCAGGCTGAACCAGCAAGTTTTACAGAGATGAAAAGCAAAAGCTTATTAAAGTAACATGAAGAAGATGCCAACATTCAAAAGCTCTTCGAGACATTATGCTTTGAACAGCATAACATGCTATGTGGCTCTTTGAAACTCTAAATTTACCAACTCATACAGTTCTTTATCCATTCTTCTAGCATATCAGCGCAGACAGCAGACACAACTTCAACCAGATTGTCTCCTTAACGATTCATTTATTCCTTCTGGTAATAGACATGAACTTGTCAGATGAGTATAAACAAATCCATTTCACATAGCTTGTCCCACTAATTGACACTGAAAATTTTTTAGGTCAAAGTTACTGCAATTTTGCACCAACTTATACGTGCCCCATTCAGCAGTGGCAGCAAGAGACGTAGTTTGTTCATACCTCTTTATAGTAACACAATCTCTATAAGATAAGAACAACTTATACACTCACAGAGAAGTTTGCCTACATAATAACGGTTATTTACAGAAAAAATCAACTTGAACCATTATTGTGAAGCTAAGAAAAACCCAGCTCTATTCTTCTCTTCAAACTTAGCTAAAGCTTTACAACAAGGGCATAATTTCTTTTCAAACAAAAAAAGTGCTTTACATTATAGCAAAGTTCACTTGCATCACGCCAGCCTACCAAGAAGAACATAATATTGGGACAAGTTACAAGCATGCATAGAACTATAATGTCGCAAGAGTCCTTTTGCATTAGATTTATCGATGAAGACTATTACTAACCTTAAGTAAGGCATGTAAAATGCTAAGATTGAAAGTACAACTCCCATTGACAAAAGCACAATGGACCCAAAGATTTTTCCTTTTGGCGGAACTCCAGATTTATCACTTTAGTAGAAACTAACTGAAATTTCCATCCTCACAAAGCAGAGCTGTGAAATCATCATTTCCATTATGCCATCAACAAAATCACCAATAATAATCCACTTGTGAGGATCATTACCAACTTCGGTGAATCTATGCCAGAGCCAACAAAAGCAGAAGGCAATGGCCCAAAAGTATAACAAAAACCGGAAGGCAAAATTTCACATGCATAAACTGATGAGTTGATAACCCAGATCAGACTTCGTAGACATTGCACTTTTAGCAATCCAGAGAGTCACGAATTTGAATTTGATACATTGCTGTACCTACCCATTATACAAGTCTCATTTGTTTTTAGAGTAAAAGTCTCATTTTGACATCCCTTCGCTGTGCTTCTTAAGAAAGAGGGCATAGAGATGAGCATCGTGCAAGAGGATGACCCAATTCTGTTTATATCACTCTGCATTTTAATCTTCAGAAACTAAGAATAGAATTCATCAAATTCTGAAGCCTAGGGTAGTTTGCATTGGTGTGCATCTCGAATCATCAAAGAACTACTAACCCTCATTTACTCCATGACTAGTGCCAGCAAATTGTCACTTTCACAGGGTCCACTCCAACATCTTGCAACTTAACTTTTCGGTAATCTATCAAACACCCTTCTACTTGCTTCCACCCATTTGTAAAGTAGAGCACTCCATTTCCGTGTTATCCAATGAATCTAACACAGCAATGCGAATGTTTCAAGCAACTACTCCTCATCTAACTTCCTGTTCATTTCGTGCTTATTCGGAAAACATAAAAGCAGTAGCATCATAAACTAATCTCCACCTAAAAATCCAAATTAAGTTCCCCACAAGACCGAGCAGGCTGAGAATGTCAACTGAAATCGCAAGCAATGTCACAAATTCTCAGCTGCCACATTATATTCACAAAGATAAAGACACTAAAACGGAAAATGCTTGCTCATTCTAAGCTCACTCTAGCAACACCCTTTTGGTTCAATCCTCACAATACCCCATCTTGCAAACTAGTTCATCGCTCCATCACCAAATCACATCCCAGCAGCTTCAGACCACCAGATAAGGCGAAAAGGGGGGAAAATGCGAGAAACCCAACCCATGAAACAAAACCCAGACCCAAAAAAAAACAAACCCAAATCCCCAAATCACCAACAATCCCTAACCCTATCAAGAAACGAACAATCCAGAGAAACGAAAATTACTCGGCCAATCGTGGGGATTCGTTCGATTGACCCTGTAGATTACCTGCGGATCTTGTTGCCCTGGCCGACCTGGTACATGCCCCAAGAGAAGGCGCCGAAAGCGGCCAAGAAGATGGCCGTGGCGCTGGGGCCGGTGTTGGGGATGCGGCGGGCGTACCGGACGGGGGCGAACCCGCCCGGCGGCGGCCCGTCTTGGAGGACGGGCATGTCCTTCACGCTCGCCATGCCCGGCTTCTTCCTTATCATCGCCTCCGTCATCGTTGCACGCCCGTGTGGCCTCCCTGCGAATCGAAGAGCGATTGATGGAAGAATCGCTTTGACGTTGTTGCAATGACCAGTGAGAGAGAGAGAGAGAAGGTAGAGAGGAACTGTGAGAGAGAGAGAGTGGTGGTGGGGGTGGCGGTGGCGGTGGCGATGGTTGGAGTGGGAGACTGCCGAGACGGCGTCGTTGAAGGTTTTAGGAGATAATTGGAATTTCATATGATGGAAATGACAGAGAAAATAACATGAAGTAGTGCTCAAATTATGGTTCAACTTGTAATGTTATTCTTGAAATTTTAATTCGTCTAATATAGTTTTGAATTATTCCTTAATTTTTAATATAGTCTCTACACTTTTAATTTATTTAATTCAGTCCATCAACTTTCAATAAAAAAAAGTCAAGATTTTTATAATTACACTGTTACATGGATTTTAAAATATATTTTCATTTAAATATATTTTCTAAATCAACAAAAAAAAATGGCTATATCTTTGGCTTAATTCCCTGAAAAACCCCAAACTTTAGGTCCAGTCCCAAATCCGCCCAAAACTTTTTTTTGTCTAAAAAAAACCCTAAACTTTAAATCCAATTCCAAATATGCTCCGAATTTTGTTTTGTGTAAAAAAAACACCAAAATTCAATTTATTTTAAAAAATATATCCTGATGATACAGTCCCAACTTGACGTGGTACTTTCACGTCGGTAACATATCCACATCAACAAAGTAATGGGGTTTTTTTTATACAAAGAAAAGTTCTGAGCAAATTTGGACTAAACCTAAAAATTAGGTTTTTTTAATTAAAAAAAGTTTTTTGGGGTGAATTTGTTATCATCCCTAACTTTCATATTCTAGAATGGTTTTATTTAGGAGAATTTCAATAATTTTTATTTGGTTTGATTTGTTATTGAAGTGGAAATGCGACGTCGATCTGTATCTGTCACTCCATTACTTTGCTAACGTGGATTTGTTATGATGTGGAAGTGTCACGTCAAGTTAGAACCGGATCACGGAGGTATATTTTTTAAAATAAATTGAAATTTGCTATTTTTTTTACATAAAACAAAATTCGGGGCAGATTTGGGACTGAACATAAAGTTTGGGGTTTTTTTGAGATAAAAAAAAGTTCGAGACAGATTTAGGACTAAATCTAAAGTTTGAGGTTTTTTCTAAAACAAAAAAAAAGTTTGGGACAAATTTTGAACTTAATCTAAAGTTTGGGGGTTTTCAGGGAACGCACCCCTATATCTTTATTAAGTTTATACCTTTTTTGTCCACATAGATATTATGATAATCCTATTTAAGTACAATTTAGCTTACGATTTTATGGAATTCATATTTCTACTATTTTTAATTTTTAATTTAGAGATTTAACTAAATTAAATTAAGAAAATACGACACATAAAAACTTACAAATTTTTTCTACAAAATTATGAACAAGACTTAGATTAATATAAATACGAAATTTCCATGGATAAATTAATATCGTTATTAAATATTCCTTCGAACTTATTTTTAAAAGAAAAGAAATATGAATCCAATATAATTCTAAATAAATTGTACTATTATAGAGATCATAAGTTAAAATACATTTAGATGGAACTATGGTAATATTTATAAGGACCAAAAATGTAGAAAACTAAAAAAATAATAAATGATAGCACATTTTTTTATTAATTTAGGAGATGGATTGAAATAAAAAGGTATTTCAAACTACGGCCAATAATGTAAGTATGAAAACTTATGAAAAAAACCGTAGGACTGATTTGAGTTTGTTATGGAAAGTTGAGGAACTAAATTGGACATTTAACAATAAATTCAACTATCATATTCGACGAATCAAAAGTCCAAGAATAACATCGCACGTTGAGTTAAAGTTTATAAACTATTTGTTTCGTTTTTTTTCGATGGCAAACGAAAACAATCTTTTTGCAAAAAATAGATGGACAATATACTTTGTTGTCTTCCTTACCAAAAATATATATATATACTTTGTTGTCTTTGTATTAGGAGAAGAGACATCGCTAATTCTTGAACTCTTGTCAAATTTTGTCTTTAATTTGTTTTTTTGTCAATCGAGTCCATTACGAGCTTGAAAATCAAAATGCATGAAATGGGTGACGTGGAAGTTTATAGTAGCATTCATTGGATTCGGATACAAATTGACGCCATGGAGTAAATAATATTTCGCAAAAAATAAAGAGAAATCCTGAAGGGCGAGAGAATGAGAGGGGGATGCTATCATGTTGTCGCGCCGCGCCTTTTCGAGCATGCTAAGGAGGTACTTCCATTTGTTATGAATGGCGAAACTGTCCCCGAACAGGCTACTAAGGTCCGATACGGATATTTCGCCCAAACGTCATACAGACATCCCATCACTAGACAAACGAGGGGTCTCTCCCAAACCATACCTCACGCGACAGTGGGTTGTGATTTTCTTATCATTCTATTCAATCTAGGTTTTTGATTTGGAGTTGCCACTAGTCATTATTGGTAGGTATCGCGCCGCACTTTTCTTTTGGGATTTTCGGGATTTGCGCGCTAAGGAGGTATTTCCGTGTAAGGGTCTCTCCCAGACCATACCTCACGTGACAGTGGAAGGTGATTTCTTATTTAGTCTAAGTTTGTAATTTTGGAGTCGCCACTAGTCATTATTGGTAGGTAGACTAGAAACTTAATCGAGGTACGGGAGAAATACCACGATTCTACGAACCAGAGATTTTGAGTATGGGGACTTGGTTACGTTATTGATCTCAAATTGAGATCCCTAATGCCCTTTCGGTACCTAAGAACGATATGATGTCTAACGTGTCATGCGAATTTTCGAGGCTTACCCACTAATTCTATCCGTTCTAATCGCAGGAAAGACCAAACAAGTATTAAATGCACAATCAAAGTCAATCAGATCAATCAATCCTAAGTGCTCTCTAAAAACGAAAATAAATCACAACACCCAAACCCTAATGAAGCTCTAAAAGTTTATTCATTTCATGATATGCATTTTTTAGGGTTTTAGGGTTTTTTAGGGGTTATAACCCCTGAATTTGGAATTTTCTAAAAATGCCACTTGGGCACTTCCGAAAATTCAAATTTCACTTTTTATGGCTGGCCACAATGTTTTTGGACCATTCTGTGAATTTTCAAAATTTTTGATTTTTTTGATTTTTTTGATTTTTTTTCGGAAATTTTATTAAAATCGAGAATTGATTTTTCATGGTTTTCCAAAAATTTTTATGAATTTTCCAATTTTTTCAATTTTTTATGGATTTTCTAAATTTTTATTTTTTATTTGAATTTTCTGAATTTTTTTTATGAATTTTCTGAAAATTTTGGAATTTTTATGAATTTTCTGAATTTCTTTTGAAATTTTATGAATTTTCTAATTTTTTTTGAAATTCTTTTGAATTTTGTCGATTGAGATTTTTCAAAATTGACAATGTATTCATAAAATTGGATTTAAAATAAGACTAATGACTATTTTTATGGAATTTTCTGATTCCATTTACTAGTTTTCTTGATTTTCTCACTTATTTTTTACTAAAAGATATTAAGGAAAAATGCAGAAAAATGCTAAAAAATTATTTTTTTGATTTAGAATAAGTTTCTAGGCTTGGCCAAGATTCCTAGTCCTAATTTTGAAATTTTTAAAAATATGAAAAAAATGAGCTAAAAATTAGATGTCAACAAGGTGATATCAAAAACAATGTGACACCTGGATTTTTAGTCGACTCACTGAACAAGATGAGATGGAAATTTCACAACAACTTATTAGGGTCTTGCTTTTGAAATCCGTGATCTAATCCAAAGGTTCTCTTTTCGGAACACATTTTGAAAGGTTTTTAATGATTGAGGGAGAGAAACTTACCTGTTTGTGAGAGTTTCTTTGTTGCTTATCCCAGGGCATGAATTGATGTTGGTGATGATTATGATGGTTATTTTGATTTCGTGGTTTAAGGACGAACCCACGAACCATGAACGCCTGAGGTTCTTCACTTGAGGATTTTGGAGACTTGCCAAGTGGTTCCTCACCCGTAGGATTTTGGAAATTGCTTAGGGACTCCTCGTTTGTAGGACTTTAATTTGCCTAGTGGTTCCTCACCAGTAGGACTTTGAAAATTACCTAGGGACTCCTCGCTTGTAGGACTTTGAATTTGCCTAGGGGCTCCTCGCTTGTAAGACTTTGAATTTGCCTAGGGGCTCCTCGCCTATAGGACTTGGACTTTGAATTTGCCTGAGGGCTCCTCGCCTGTAGGACTTTGAATTTGCCTAGTGGTTCCTCACCAGTAGGACTTCGAATTTGCCTAATGGTTTCTCACCCGTAAGGTTTTGGAAATTGTCTAGAGGCTCCTCGCCTGTAGGACTTGAATTTTGGAGACTTGCCATGTAATTCCTCACCCGTAAGGTTTTGGAAATTGCCTAGAGGCTCCTCGCCAATAGGACTTGAATTTTGGAGACTTGCCATGTGGTTCCTCACCTGTAGGGTTTTGGAAATTACCTAGAGGCTCCTCGCCTGTAAGACTTTGGGAAGACTTCAAATAATGAACGCCTTAACCGTGAGTTTTGTGATTTTAAGGTTTCACTAACCTTTGTATGGTTTTTTTAATTGACCAAAAACTATTTTGAAAAGTAGTTTTGAAATTGATCAAAACTGTTTGAAATGTGATTTTTTTTTAGCTTACCACAAACTGTTTGAAAATTTGGTTTTAAGTTGAACAAAAACTTTTGAAACCTGGTTTTGAAATACGCATTCTTTTGCATTAATGCATTTTAGACAATCAAATTTCCTTTTCAATGAATTATTTGGACAAAATGCTTGCAAATTTTCAAGAAATGCTTGAAATGATCGTTTGGAAGACCTTCATTAGAAAGGATTTGTTTCGATTTATGAACTTGGTCTTTTCTTCATTTGATTGAAAAAGGACTTGTCTAATATCTCTCAATTTTTCTCTCTTAACCAATCCTTAGGTGTTCGGAGATGTTCGCAATGTATACAATCCAATTGATCCGATAAGGTATTTCAAAAGGTTGTAATGTTGGCTTGGTCAATGGCTATTCAAAGGATAGGCATTCTGAGGCCAAGAAAAGGATTTTGTCACAACTGACTTCGGGTTTATAAGTTAAGAAC